TACCAAGAAGGCTCCACACCCATTTGCACTTCTAAGCACACAGATAAACCTCGAAGTGGCCTCAATGGCACTCTAAAAAGAATGCAAATGACCAGTTATCTGCAAGGAGTATAAATCCTTCCATTCCCCACCATCCAGTCAGAGCTGAACAAGTTTCTTGGATGAGAAGCAAAATGTCTTCAAAAATCAATCAATAAATAAATAAGAAAGAACTTTTTTTTTTAGTTTGGTGATAATTGAAAACAAAAACTTTTGAATTATGGATGAACTATAATTTCAATCATGATCATTTTAGTTTTCCTTTATGTAATAATATTTAAATCACTAATAATCTTGCAAACTAATTGAGTAGGAGCCTGTACATGGGGCACATATGAGACAATCACAACATAAGCATCATGGGAATAAACATTTTCATAGATGAGATCTATAGCCCATCCACCGCTTTTCAAATTCAGTTAGATATTCATTAGATATTCAAAGTCAATTAGATAATTAAAGAGGTTCTGTGTCTACTTATGAAAACATTGGTTGGCAGGAACAAGGCCTATTTACTACAAAATTCCAGATTCTCCTTTCAAGGTATAGCTTAATTTTCACTTGATACAGTTTTCATAGGTAAAATTAAAAACTGTTTGTCCATTGATGTCCAATATTCTATTTATTTAGTTTTAGGAAAGCATGAAATAAATGCAATTTAAACTTGCAAATAATAGTGGAAATTAGAGAATTCCAGGTCTGTTTATGGAAAGGAGCTTTTTGTCCTTTCTCGCTGGAAAACCTGTTGCTGTGTCTTGGCAGTCCTCCCAGAATGGTTGATAAGTGGGCTATTTCCTAGGGACTGACATAAGGGTTTTCACTCTGCAGTATGGATTTTATTGTGAGAAATACTATTGTAACTGTGATCTGGGTGAAGACTGTTATGATTATTTGCTTTTCTTTTATATTACTGTATTTGGTTTTTTCTAATCCCATCAGTTCAAAATGTACATTATTTAGAGTATTTGCAGATAAAGCAGCCTACAGTACTAAACAAATAACAGTAATTAAATATGGGGATTTAGGAAGTTTTGCCATGTTTGCAGAAATTACCGTATTTGCCGGCGTATAAGACGACTGGGCGTATAAGACGACCCCCCAACATTTCCACTCAAAATATAGAGTTTGTTATATACTTGCCGTATAAGACTACCCCCTCTTCCACACACCTTCCACTTTTGCACTTTTTTTTTTTTTTGACGCACTTTTCTGCTTTGGACAATTTTGAAATGAGCTAATCCAATTTTGAACCAAGAATATGCAAATAGCTATGGAGTTTAGAAATGAGTTTAAAAAATATTTTTCATTGCTTACCATTAAGCGTAAAATATGTTGTAAATAAAATGAGAACACAGGAAACGTTCTCTTCTCAATACAGCTGATCTCTCTCTCTCTCTCTCTCTCTCTCTCTCTCTCTCACACACACCCACACCCACACACCACAAAAACCCGGACACTGAAAAGGCTGCCAAGGAACAGTATATTCAATGCCTTCTCTTTAATCAAGAAACAAGGAATTCCTTAGAATCTTTTTTTTTCCCCAAGTGGCCCTCTTTAAAAAAAAAAATGGAGGTAACACTTTCATTCAAAAAGTCTTCCAGTATCTGGAGTCGCTCAGACATATTGAAGTGAGGCAGGAGAGTAAGTGAAATTTGAAATGATCCAGCTACCGTTTTCTTCCCCTCCCGCCCGCAGGCCATTATCTCCACGTCAAAACGAACGAGGGGAGGCAAAGAAGCCAAACACGCTAAAAAGGATCTCTTTATTTTCCTACACAAGGTCACACCTACTTTTCCGCATTCAAAGGACAACCTCTCCTCACCACCACCACCACACACACACACACACCCCAATACCCGCAAACAATGTTCTGGGCATTAATCACCATTGCTACATTAACCTGGTAAATTTATACCCTGCCTCCCCCAGTGTTGCTTTGACGGCAGGATTTCACACAGCGGGGCGCTCGCTCGCTCTCTTCTCCGCTCTCCCACCGTTCGCACATGTTGGAAGCACCGTAAAACCTGATAACCCACCCGGGGGCTCCCCCATCCTTAACCTACAGCCGCCCGCATGCAAAACTTGCGTGCAAAAAGAAAAAAAGAAAAAGAAAAGTACGCCGCACGTGAGGATCTTCGAATCCTCTCCTCCCCACACCGCTAAGGAAGGAAGAGGGGGAAAG